CCAAATATTCTCATTTCTCCACCCTCCTCATGTGCCTACCAAGTACCATGCATCCTCCATAAAGATCACACAAAACGTTTTTCTTTCTAAATATCTTTGATGAGTGGGGTAGGGTGATATGTTTCAGTAGTTAGACTACGCGTCACGGGTCTATGGTTAATCGAAGAAGAAGGTGATTTACCTATGGTGGCTGATTATTATATATTATAGAATAAGGGAGGAGAAGTCAGGGAAGAAACTTTCTTTGATTTTATTCAATACCAACTTAACTTGGCAGATATATAGGAGTTACAATCAAAGATATAAGGAAATAATATTCTAAAAACTGCTAAACTAAATATGAAGGAAATCCTTAATAAAAAGGAAACAATATAACTAAACTAGTAAATGAAACAATATAACTAATTTGATCTCTAGGTAGTGTGAACTAGTTGGGCAGCAGGATTTGTAATGTATCATAGGGTGCTCGAGTAGTCAGCCCTAGACTCAGGCAGAGTGCTTGGTTGTTAACCCTCGACATTGAGCAGAGCGAAAGAGTGGATGCGGATGGAGAAATCATGTTCACGTTTAAGGGGAGCATTATGCATTTTTGGGGTGTTAATGGTCGAGATTCGCAAGAAGATTATTGTATTTTTTTTTTTTACTTACTTTCTTTAAGTATTCGATCCAATTGGTTGTGTTCGCTTAGCGATGACGGTCCAAATTAAAGGCCATGAAATCAACAATCTTAATACAACAAAGCATCGACATTTACAAATTTTCTCTCTCAATATACAACATCCAAACATTGTGTAAATTAGTATCCCGGATGGGATTTCACAAATTGGGATGCCCTTAGCTCCATAGCATACCCAATTTGCAGCATATATATACAATTACACAATTTGACATGTAGTGTATACTGCTTATGGTGATCTCATCTCCTACCATGGATGGTGCTTTCTCAACTGTCATGCTATCATTGCTCCTTTGACTCTTTACACCACAACTATTTTTCCCACTTTGCTCCACTTTTTTTTCCCACATATATATATGCATATATTTCCAAAACAAGACAAGCATATAACACCAATTAATTAATTAGGCTGAGGAGGAATAACGAAATGAAATCTTTATTTTATTAAGGAATGAGTTTTTTAATTAAAGAGGTAATCAAAACTTATAGTAATGTTTTAAAAAGTTGTCAACCAAACAATAACAATAACAATGACTTTAATACCCATTCCTGATAGCTAAATTTGTCAACCAAACATACCCTTACACGAGTTCTGGTGCATGTGTCGGTAAGTAGTCAGTATATAAACCTTAAAAACGTCAATGGACCACGTACAGATACAAAGGAGGTGAAAAATCTTTGTCTTTTTGTATTTTTATATATATTTGCAGTGAGCACAATTAATAATAAGTCACAACTACTCCTAGAATTATAGCGACCTGCTTTAATTTGAGCATGGTCCATGCTCTTGTGCACCCATGTGTAGTCTTAGAATAATAATTTTGCTTCAATTTTTGTTCTTATTCTTAACTTCAACACGTGTCGACACCCAACACATAAATATTCATTATGCCATCATAATTTGGTTGTTGCAATAACTCAAGGTGAGTTCCGAAGCTATCGATTTAACGTCTCTATGAATGACCAGTTTCATGAGTTACGTTACAGGAATTTTATTCTTCTTACAAACTATGATGCCTTATAATATTCAATTGTCATATTGGATTTTGTCTATTATAAAATTGATCAGTACAATTATCTATTTATATGAACAAATTAAATTTTTTTCAATACTTATTATTTCATTCAATTCCCAAAATTCGAAGTTGAAGTAACGCTTAATTGAGAGATATTGCGTTGTTTACACTCAAATCACGAATTGCATATCCTGAATAATAATAAATGTTTGATCATCATTGCATATAATACTTATTTCATCGTATAACTTACATTCAAAACTACTTCAAATATATAATACTTATTCTCATCCATATATACTCATCATTATTGTACATTGAACTATTAGGTGACTATGTGAGTAACTTTTCTCATGAAAGGACTATCATAAATTAATTATTTATGAATCATTATATATCAAATCTTTCACATCAAATACTATATTATTTTGGCGTTTACAAAAATTCAAATAACTTCATGTCCACCACATATACGTACCCTCACGTAATAATTGTTCTTTCCAATTATTGTAAATTTTTCTCAGTTACCTAAAAAAAAATAGTGTATGATTGATGTTCGAAAATTAAAAGGATTAAAACGCGGTGATTTAAAATTAGAAAAAAAAAATGTAAATGAAACGGTGATGTTAATATCTATCATATCCAGTTTTATACAGTCTACCGAGTAGCGTAAAAACTGTACGGGATTTAAGCAAGAATTTGTTAGGTGATTTTCACGAGGACGATGGAGGACCCAATCGCCATTTAAGACTGCCATATATACATCTCCACCTTGCTACTTGCCTCTCCAATCTCTCTCTTCTCATCTCTCAGCTCCTTCAATTCTCTGAATTATTCAAAGTTTTCAGACGGACGGACGGCGGCGGTGATTGGTACGGTGATGATGAGTTGCAGAGGCGGCGCTGACTCTCACCAGAATAATGTCAGGGAAAAGTCGTTCAGAATCAGGCACGACGACCTCAAGTTGTTCTCCAGGTTTCTTTCCCGGCAAGAAACCTCCAATCGTTCCTCTTTCAGGGTTTACTACGGGGATGTTTCCGTGCCGTTTGTCTGGGAGTCCCAACCGGGAACTCCCAAACACAGATTCGCCGAGGACGGGGCCGCGCTCCGCCCTCCGCTCACTCCTCCTCCTTCTTACTACTGTAATTCCAAAATGACGGTGCCCGGAGCTCTGGCCAGGAAGAAAAAGGTGCTCCCGGGATCCATTCTTGTACGAACTTTGCTCACCAAGGTGAGTCTCCGGAGAACCAAATCAGCCGCTGCCGCCACCGCACCGTCACTCTCCCTCTCGCCGTCTTCCTCCTCCTCCTCCCTCTCCTCGTTCTCCGCCACGGCCACGCCTTCCAGCTTCAGCAGCCGGCGAGGGCGGCGGTTTTCCGGCTCCGGCTCCTCCTTCGATAAGGGCATTGAAGACATTGCCAAGGCGGAGCCGTCGGCGGCGTGCTGCGGTATCATCGACATGGAGCGGAGTATCATCGTGAAGAAGGTTCTGTCCTCCATTGTTGGCCGCCGCCAAAACCTTAATTAGTTCGTCTTTCAACTGTAATTTTCACATGATTATGTCCTTAATTTTTGTTTGTGTTTGAATCCTAATCTTTAGAACATGATGATTGCTCAGCTAGTCAGCTCAACGTTAATTCTCTTTGAGTTCATGAATGTAAATCTACTTGTTTGCTTTACTGATCGATTAGTTGACGATTTGCATCATATATTAATTTTGGTATCTATTAACTGTGGATCAAATTAATAATTTCAGTATAATCAAATAACTATTTTAATAATTAACTTTTCGCAGAAATTGGTACATGTGAGGATTGAAATGGTCCCTAGCAAAATTATCAATTTGGTTGTTTAACGAAAAAATGAATGATCAAATTGGTTAAGATTTTTGAAGTTGAATGACTTAATTGATTTAAAAAATAATCAATGACTAAATAGGTAATTTTGCTATAATTAATGGATATTTTAGTAATTAACTCTAAATTATTTGATGACAATTTGGTACCCAAAATATCAATAAAATTTATGTTCGTTGTCATTATGTTTAGACACATGGTACAATATAATAAATAAAATTTATGTTGTCATTATGTTTAGACACATGGTACAGTAGTACAATTGTTTATCACTGTTAAACATTGACTGACATTCTTACGAAAATTGTTTTTACAAATGGTAAAAATAAATTTCATTTAACTAAAAAAACATATCATAACCTTTGATAATCCCATGTTATACTAAATTATATGAATGTTGTACTGCCCAACTATAAGAAGTTATTTTTAGTTGAGACAAAATACGTTCTTTAATTTTGTGAGTAATATTCACAACAATCTTTATTTGTTTGAAACTAATATTGATAGATTAATGTAAAAGGGAGATCAATTCCTATCCATCTTATAACCAGTTTGGTTGGCGTGAGTGGCCGTACACCCTTCCCCTAGCACTTTGCAGCCTTTCATTGATACGAAAAAACTAATATGACCAGCACTTTGCAGCCCTTCATTGGGCTGGTCCGGTGCGAACATTAATTAGTCTGAATATGGTACGAGCTTAAATGTGCCTCCTACAATTAGGGTCTGTATATCTAATCAATCAACCAACCAAAAAGCATGCATTTAGGGGAATATAATACAATTGAAGCACATCATTTACCTTCTTCTCCAGGATAGGACCGGACAGAGAGTTTGAGGTTTAAACTTGTGAATTATAAAAATCTTGAGATTAGTAAACATTAACTCCAAGAATTAGGTAACAGTTTGATTGAGTGGAAGAACCAAAAGACATGAGTCTATGGGTGTCTGTTCTAGGTGAGTATTTAATACAGCCAAGGAAGTTGGTTACAGGCTTCTGTCCAACTATTTAACTTATCAGATCTGCAATTTGGAATCTTTATGGCTGTCCTGTCCTCACCCACACACAAGGAACCTTCAATTCTTTTGTGCATTTAATTTTCACTCATAAAATCATAAGTAAGGATTGCCCTCCATTCCGGAGACCTCTCGCCCCCACTCCCACTCGTCTTAAAACGCAAAATATGTCTCAACGACTTACAAAATTCCAGTCACGGTTAGTGAAACAGAACTATTATTATTACGGAAAGGTAAAGGAGAGTCTATTGTCACCAAGAACAATTTCATGTTTAGGGTCAAGTGTACAAAGATTGTTTGTTTGTTTGGCTAACAACAAAGGTACAATGATTTATGGAACAAATTAAAGATCAGTTTAGTATATCAAGGGATTTGTGAAAAACATTTAAACATCACAATCTTCATTTATGAGTACCAAAACATGTGATCTCTTAGATATTAGCAACTAAAATTGACAAAATTGATTGAAGCCCTTCCAAGTAGGGGAAATATGAGAATGATGTATAACAACTATGAATGTGATCTTTCATTAAAATCTTGTGGTCTTTGCACACTAAGAAAACAACATAAGCTCAGACAAATCATCATACTGAAGCACATATAGCGTTTTCAACTAACTTAGGATTACGAGTGAGGACTTCTTTGTCTGAGAGGAAGAGTGGGGAAACGAGAAGAAACTTTAACGACTACTGCTGGTTACTTTGTGCATTGCGTTTGCCAAGTATTCAACATTGCTGCTTGTCACACCCGCCATGCTGCCATTATATATAACTTCTACCATTATACTTACCTTAGCGACTTAGGGTTCATGTTACTAATGTTTAACATAATAAGAGTAAATAAGTGGCATTGAAAGTCGATAATTTTCAAAGATTTTGACGTAAAAAACATTACCTGATGCGGCCATTGTTGGGCATGTATATTTGGAAATCCTTCTGCAGCTGTTCAACCTGTTTAGGCGATAAGCCAGAGAAGCAAAACATGCCGACCTGCCATTTTTTTAGAATCAAGTAGTAATAAGTAATTTTGTGAAATGCTCCATTATGAACAAACTTCAGCAGTTGATACCTGATTGATTATGTGTTCCCAGCTTAAAGAACTCAACGCTTCAAGATTTCGGTGTAAAGCAGCACGCATTGTCATAAAGCGATCGGTCATGACCTTATTATATAAATAAAAATAAGCGGGAGGCGTTATACAGAAAGAAAATCAAGAAAACATGGTTAAAGGAACATCAATCACCTTTAGTTCCTCTTCCCAAAGTGCCTTGAGATCAGGGTCATTCAGAATTGTTGAGACTAGTAATGGCCCGTGAACTGGTGAGCTACTGTACATTGCACTGACAATCTGATGTAACTGGCCTTTGATTATACTTGCTTGTTTGTCATCCACGCAGAGAATACTAGAAAGTTACAGCATATAAATCGGTAATTCTCAGCTAGTAGGCACAAAACAGGACAAATGGCCTAGTTTATGTTCTCAAATGTATCATGTTAACAATACTAAACGCAAATGACTGTTGCCCGGAGTCGAGTTTTGATATCTTCATCACAAAAGTTTCTTACCTGAGGCAACCCACTCGATGTCCGTATAATCCCATGATCTTGGAAAAAGACTGTGCACAGGCCAACAAATGCCCATCTTTAAGAAATATGCGGATAGCCCTGGCGTCTCTTTCTAGGTCCCCGGTAGCAATGCCCTGATAAGCCATATCGAAGAAAGGGAAATGCTTCTTCACCTGAAAATGTTCTAGGCAGGAGAAATTAAAGCACAATTACAAATTCATAGAAGTGAAATATTGATCATATTTCTCGTTAATAACCTTGAACATGTGCGAGATTTCTTCCCACTGTTCAGTAGACGGGTCAATCCCAGTTGGGTTGTGAGCACAAGGATGAAGTAAGAAAAAGGAATTGCTGGGAGCATTCTGTAACGATCAACAAATGGTGGAAAGCAAAAAACGTCAGCGAAGTGGAGTTTATACTGAAATTGTGATTATGAACAAAGCATAAGCCGACCTTGATATCTTCCATGAGGGCTTGGAAGTGCAATCGTCTAGTATCAGGGTGGTAGTAGCGGAAGGTACTTCTTGAAATTTCTGCATCCCTCCATATGTTATGGTGGCTAAATAACGGAAATGAAATCAGGACAATTATTACAGACATAAAACACGAGATTACAAGAAGAAATGACAAAGTTTTGATCAAATATTACTTGGACCAAGTGGGATTAGGCAGATATATTTTTGTGTCTGGGTAGAAGCGCCTCTGGAGTTCAGCAAAAAGGCGGCACGCACCAGTGCCTGAAAGAGCTGGGATTCCAGCACATCTTCCTTCAGTAACAACACCAGAATCTTTACCATAAGCCAGTTTCGAACATTCTTCAACTAGCTTCGAACTGTCTTCTGGTGAAATGGAATCCCTGTCAATAGACTCAATAACACATTAACACCCAAACATGAGGCAAACACCTAATTCAAATGAGACTATGAGAGGAACCCTCAAATTATAATCTTGGTTCCATTTGAATTTCAAACACTAAGAACATACCTCATTTAGAAAGTGAGGTTTAAAAAATTAGTACACTAACATTACAGCAATTCGTAAAATTAAACACAAGAAATATTTAGCATCTAAAATGAATTGACTACTCCAAATTTGAATCCACATTCCACAAACACATGAACACCCTCAACCAGCCCAAGGGAAGAGACTAAAAGAGAATAAATCCGTATGGGTAGCCCAGTTGGTTCCTGAATGGAAGATTGTGGGCAAAGACGCCCTGACAATCACAGTGTAGGAATTTCACCCTCTTGTAGGGTGGCTCTTTACGGACACTAGGTACTGGTCCTCTCACATAATGGACTGTTGAGTCACTATATCTTTCGGGCAGGTGTGATGGCCCGAGCTAGGAATTTCGCCTTTGTGGGCCCACAAAGACTAAAAGAGAATAAAAGAATAAGAGAAAGCATTTATTACTTCATAATAATCCAGGCCACTTCTACAACCAAAGAAATTGCAACAATATATATTTCTCAAACTGAGAAGACTCTATCAAAAACAACTTATAAAAGAGAATTCCTGTATGATCACACATTCAATTTTCAAAACTAACAATTAGCACAAACAAAAAACTCATCAAAACAACCAGCCTACACAACAGAATATGCTGCAGCAGTCAGTTATTAACAAACTAAGGTGCAAATACTCACAGGAACTCACAACCAGCAAGCTTGGCTGCAGCTTTTCTTACACACTCAAGAACCACAGGATTACCTTCAGCATCCCTGTAAGTTCCCTGCAAAATTTAAATTCATAAGCATAGACAAAAATAGAAACAAACATAAGATTAAGAAGCAAAGTTCCTTTCTTTTTTTGTTTTACCACAAAAAGATTGATCTTGAAAGGGCTAGGGTCAGAGAAGAAAGCATCCGTAACAGTTTTGATGGGGTCTTTGGGAAGTGGTTCCGCATGGCCCCACCACGACCATCCACCGGCGGCCCTGCTATCTGCCGAGGTCGTTATGCTTCTTCTCCTTCTTCCCAGATATCTGCTGCACCTCCACATGGTCATCATCTTCCCGCAATGTCAATCTCTGTGGGAGCTTTAATGGAGACTTAAATGAGGAAAGTGGTGCGGGGAAATATGAAAATTTGCCCCCCAAACCCCAATCCCCCATTTTCTTGATCCAATGGGCTGCCCCTTGAATTTCTCCCCAGACATAATACAAGAAGAAACACAAAATCAAAAAGGTCTTAGCAAAAGTGGAAGTGTTGTAATTCATAATCCGGCGGCGGCTTTTATTCATAAAATTCTTGATCACTGTTTTGATGAAGTATTTCTACTCCAAAAACCACCGTTCCTGTTTTCCTAAAATTCATAATCCAGGGGCGGCATTTATTCACAAAACAATTGTTATATTATTGACCGGGTACATAATGTCTCCAAAAATTATATGTTCCTACTTACCATATCATGTGCATTTAATTAATAAATTATGTTTGTATTCTGTAAGAGTGTCAAAATAGGTTGAGACCCGCGAGCTGGCCCTAATCCATCCCACCGTAAAGCAAGTTAGTGTTGAAATTTTTTGGTCCACGATGAAATGGGCCTTCATGGCTCAATGTGCGTGGATTCGCGGGTTGGTCCGTACAAGTTGCGGGCTGGCAATTTTTTTTTTTAAATAAATGAAAATGTTGTAACTTATTATTACATTTATATATTCAATATTTTCATGATATACTCAACTTAATAAAAATATCTTAGTTTGTGCGACAAATGTATTTAAGGAAGAGTAGAGTGAACTAACACTCACATCGATCACCCACTCTTTGGAAGGTTTTAATCTTTAATCTTCAAACCATAATATTGAAAACTTGTGTTTCCATCCATCCACTAATAATTCATCCTTCTACAATCCCTTCTGATCTCCCCATTAGTCCCGGTGAGCGGGCTGAGTTCACTCATTTTCACCATAGCTTCAGCAAAGTCGTTTGCAAACTTGGAAGGATGTGAAATATACTCCTTGACTATGGAGTTTGTGAATCCACTGCTAAGCAATTGTTGATCAGAGTGCAACAACCCCTTTTGACTTTGCAAATTCTTAAAGTAAGCATTATCAAATAAGATCGGAGTGGTGATGTCAAGTGGAACATAGTTTAGGTCACCTCCACTTTGTGGACATTTTGATCGTAACCATGCTGCATATGATGCATCTATATCGCTGTCGTTGTAGATACGGTTTCGAAAAGCAGCACAATGAGCCTTTCCAATCGTGTGACTTCCTATATACAATTACTCACAAGAAAATAACCAAATTATAATAAGGACATAACTATTTAATTTGAATATCAAAATATATATAGTGTAGTTGACAAAAACATTCTTTTAAAAACCTGAGAGAGCAACCATTTGCCTGGCAGTAAAACCTTTGTTAGCAAAGGAGGAAATGAGGTGAGTTAGATTGGAAGCTGGTCCAGGAATGATGGTACTGCCAGCATCTTTAGATGGGGTGGTTGAGTCCCTTCTACCTAATGAAACACTCCAACTAGGGCCACCAATCTGTAGATCAGATTATTACATACATTCAGTTAATGTTGAGCATATAACTATTAATGTGCAATCTAACTATCAGTTTAACCTTTTAATTGAGATGAAGCACATGTTTTAATTTGGTATCAAAGACATGCCAAAGATTGCACACGTGAGGGGCATGTTGAGCATATTAATATGTATATAAAATAACATAATAATTATTCGTATTTTTAGTACCACCACAATTGCGTCTCTAGTCGCAAGGGTAAGAATATCAGCACAAGATACAACACCAACGCAAAGTTCTTCGAGCTGAGTTTTAATATCGACTATCACATTAAGACCTCGGGGTGGAGCAACCATCGGATTAGTGGTGTTCACTAACAAGACTGATCCATCACATCCCTATTTCAAATCAATTATAATATCATATAAGTACATAATAACCATATAAGTTTGGATTGAATATATATGTTTAAGTTGCGTGAAAATAATTAAGACTTTAGATGTGAATTAAAAAATTGAGTGAGTGAAAAAGAAAGGGTCATCACGTACGTTAATGAAGCAGTCACGGAAATGGAGATGCAGCAAGGCGGCAGCCGTGCCGGGGTCGGAGTTGACGGCATTGTGGACGGCGGTTTTGATAGTGGAGAGAGCGTTAGGGCATGTTTTAGAGTAAAAATGTTTGGAGAGATGATAAGCTGATGATGAGTTGAAGGGAAGGAGAAGAAGGTTGAAGATGATGAGCAGAAGATATGAGAAGCGGCGGAATTCCGCCGCCGCAGCCGCCATTATTAGTATTGGATAGTCGAAGATGGATCGGAGTGCAGCTATGAGCTATCTTCTCATGGCCGCAGGTGTATGAATGGCTAAAAGTGGCAGTAATCGCAGACGGCTTCTGGAGTTCTGGGACCAATATCCATTAACAAAATGCCAAATTGGAGTTCACCACTACCCAAGGATAAGGTTTTTTTTTTTCCAAATATTAATTATATACAGATATATTGGATAAAACCAAAACATATTTTGTAGCCAAGCAATTGGAACTTGTAATAATCCATGACAACCCAACAAATCAGAAATTTGGGAACTAATAATCTTTCAACTTAGTTGATTTTTCTGCAATTCTTTCTAATTTGGCCTCTTCTCCCTGTGAGCGGGCTAAGATTACCCAGTTTCATCATAGCGTTAGCAAAGTCCCTCGAAAAAATAGAATAATCAGAACTATAAGTGTCTACTATAGAGTCCGTGACTCCACCGATAAATAACTGCTGATCTGAGTGCAATAATCCTTTTTGACCCTTCAAATTCTTGAAATAAGCATTGTCAAAGGAGATAGGAGTGGTAGTGTCGAGTGGAATGAAAGTGTTGTCACCTCCACTTTGAGGACATTTTGCCTGTAAAAGTGATGCGTATGAAGCGTTTATATTAGCTTCTTGGTAGATCCGATCTCGAATGAGCTTGCACCTTGCTCTTCCTATCGTGTGACTTCCTACAATTACCCATAAAAAAAAAAAATCAAGTATAAAAACGTTATTAAATATACCTGCCTAACATATTTAATTTTCAAAATAAAAAAGGAGTTGTCAAAATTTCTAAAACAAATATACCCGAGAGAGCAACCAAATCCCTGGTACTTAAACCTTTGTTAGAGAAGGAAGAAATGAGCTGATTGAGATTGGAATTTGTTCCAGGAATGTTAGTATTTGCAGCAGTTAAACTTGCAGTGATTGAATCTCTTCTACCCAATAAAACACTCCAACTAGGACCACCAAGCTGCAATTATATTAACAAAAAATTTTAATAAGCATGAACAACCTCAGTAAAATTTGTTAGATTGATGAATAAGTTCAATTTTCAATAAAAGCAATTCATTAGTGTTCTTTATTTGAACCAGTCAGATAATCTAATCTGATTAACCCCAAGAAAAATCTAACTTTTAGTGACTGTAAATTTTCTCATCACAAAAAAAGATTTTAATGAATTTGTAGAAGTAATATTTAAAAAGGGTAACTTAATTGAACTTACCAAAACAACTGAATCTCTAGCTGCGACGCTTATAATATCAGCACAGGATACAACACCGGGACAAGATTTTTCAAGTCCAGCTTTAATAGTATCAATCACGTCATATCCCATAACAGAGTTGCCATTTGGACCGGCCGTCTTTTCTCCGGTGAAGTTGGCCGTGTCGTCCAATAAGATCGATGCATCGCAGCCCTGTTCATCAAGAACAATCATAACATCACAAAACCATATATATATATATATATATATATATATATATATACATTATCAATCAGCTAATTCAAAAGAAGATGGGGCTTGCGTTAACGAAGCAGTCGTGAAAATGGAGACGAAGCATGACAGCTCCCATCTGAGGATTGGACTCCACGGCGGCGCTGACGGTGGTTTTGATGATGGAGAGTGCGTCAGGGCACGTTTCCGAGTAGAAATCCGGCGACAGCTGAGCTGAGCTGAATCCAAACAGAAGGGAGAAAATGAATAGAAAAGATGAGAACCGGAAGGCGTTGCGCGATGGACCGGCGGCATACTGAACAGTCAACGCCATTTTTATCGGTAATAGATAGGAGGAAAAAGTAGACGTTGAAGAAGAAAGAAATAGAGGGCTGGTGATTATCTCCTGCCATTAATGTTGTAATTCGACTTGGTCAATAAAATTATATTATTTGAGATTATCCCATAACTTTGATTATATTAAATAAAATTATATAAGATTAGGATCACAAAGTGTGATACCGTATCACGAATCCTTATTAGTTATTTGTAAGTCAAGTCGAGTCGGATTGACCTATTAAGTTGGAGAACTAGTGCTTAATGCACATAAAAATTAAAGCTTTTATCATATTAGATATAACTCCCAGACCATTAAAGCTCGACATTTTGTTGGTAATTGTGGTTCCCAAAAGGTTGAACCCCAACTTCAAGGACCTCCCACGCTCCTCAACTGAACACAAAGGCTAGATCTTTGTTTACTTACTGTGTATAACGAATCCCTCTCACTTTAAAAGATTGCTTCAATATTACTGCGAATGAAACTTAATCTCGAATCATTGTTTCTAAATTTTACTCATGTGACTAACTGAGATATCGTATAGACAATTTTATTCTTTATTGATACCGTAGTGTTGGGCCATATATCCGCCGACATTGTTGACATTATTTTAGAAGCAAAAACATGAGAGGAAATTACGTAGCATGACTGGCACATATAGATCCACGTACGGTTGAATGAGTTGGTGTCAGCAGTCAACAGCCTTCAATGGTGGAATATTATACCAGTATAAGTATATATGTGTATATATGCCTATTCAGGTAAACAAATTATTGATTTTTTTAAAGGAAAATGATCAAATAAATTATCAATTTTATACAAAAAATTAATTAAGTTTCTAACTTCTAACACGTTACAATTAAACACATTAGCTCATTAATTTGATGTAATTAAGCTAATAACTTATCAATTGTTACAATTAAGTTAATTATTTGATATTGATAAAGCTAAGGTAAAACATATAAAAATATGATAATGTGTTAGCTTTTAATTAAAATATAATTTTATTTTAAATGTAATGGTCGCCAGCAATAAAATTTCTCACGAGACTTCTGTCAATATATATTGTCATGTTAGCATTATATTTTTACTAATTACCTTTAGGTATAGTAACCGGCTAATTTGTTTAATTGCATCAAATTGATGATGAGTTGATATGTTCAATTGTAATTTTATAAAATTTAAAAGTCTAATTATTTTTTCGGTATAAAATTCAAGGTATATTTGACCATTCTCCCAAATTTTTATTAAGAGGGAATAAAGGTTGATGTCCTTCAATTATATTTGTTGTATAATACGAGTACATTATTTTTTATATTTCTCAGTTATGGCAATAAAAATATACCGCTTTAATAACTTGTAAAATAGTGCACTCAAAACTTGTTTAATAATTACTTTAATATTTTTTGAAACAATAATTGCTTTAATATGATACTACAAGTCTACAATTTTAAAACATAATTGCCAATTCTATATATATGCTGCTCTTTAGCAAAGCAATTGGAACTAGTAACACATGCATCACCATCCACCCATTCTTTGGAAGGCTTTATTCTTTAATCTTAAAAACCAAAATATTGAAAACTTGTGCATTGTCACCATTCAATACTAATAATAATTGATCTTTTTGCAATCCTTTCTGATCTCTCCATTAGTTCTGGTAAGAGGGCTGAGCTTACTCATTTTCACCATAGCTTTAGCAAAGTCTTTTGCGAACTTGGCAGGATGTGAAACATACTTTTCAACTATGGAGTCCGTGAGTCCACCGCTAAACAATTGTTGATCAGAGTACAACAACCCCTTCTTACATTGTAAATTCTTAAAGTAAGAGTTGTCAAAGGAGGTCGGACTGGTGATGTCTAGTGGAGCGAGGCTTCTATCATCTCCACTTTGGGGACATATTGATTGTAACCATTTTGCATAGGAGGGATCTATAATGCTGTCGTTGTAGAGACGGTTTCGAAAAGTAGCACAACCAGCCTTTCCAATCGTGTGACCTCCTACATGCAAAAATAACCAAACTATATAAATTTGACTGTAAAAAATAAAGTGTATAGTAGTTGCACAAAAATTCTTTTAAAACCTATAATAAAAACCTGAGAGAGCAACCATTTGCCTGGCAGTAAAACCTTTGATGGCAAAGGAAGAAATGAGCTTATCTAGACTGGAATCTGGTGCAGGAAGGTTGGTATTGGCATCATCTTTAGATGCAGTGGTTGAGTCCCTTCTACCTAATAAAACATTCCAAGTAGGGCCACCAAGCTGCACATCAAATTACATACATTCATCATACATATATTGTATGCATTCAATGTTAATTAAACATTATTATATTTATACTATATTCTTCCCACCACAACGACTGAGTCTCTAGCAGCAACAGTCAGAATATCAGCACAAGACACAACACCGGCACAAGATTCCTCGAGCTGAGTTTTAATATCGTCTACCACATTCAAACCTCTAAGTGTGTTGTTATTTGGAGCAGCGGTCTGTTCTCCAATAAAAGTAGCTGTGTCTTCCAGCAAGATCGATGCATCACACCCCTGTTCCAAATTATAATATCACATACCCATAACCATGCATGAATGTGATGAATGTATAGCTAGCTAGCTGGGCAGCTTCATTAGTTCCATTATATTTTGTTTAATACATGATTAGGTCATGCACTTCTATAAGTTAATGTCACGACTGGAAATTATGGAATTTCCGACTACCTGAAAGTAATCTTAAATCAAGTCGAAAGCAAAAAGTGGTCGGAAATAGCAACAAAGGTTTTTCCGGATACCAGTGGTCGGAACAAGGCTTTCGACTTGATTTAAGATCACTTTCCGTCGGAAATTCCATAATTTCCAGTAGTGTATTAAACTATTAGTCCAAAACATTGACAAGTCAATGTTTCTCGAATTGAAATAAAGAAAATAAAGGAAAAAAATTATAGAAAATCCATGAACTAACCATAGTTCTTTAATATCCACTCATTAAAAGTTAACACAAATTTCATCTGTACTATTACCATTCCAAATGGGTGGCCACAAACTGGTGTTTCAAAAAAAAAAAAAAAAACCAACAAATTATGTAATTTTTTTTATTGGTTGCATGAAAATAATAGTTAGATAATAATACACATACTCGAGTTAATCCATGCAAAATGAAATAATAATAATAACTAGTCAGGGTATAGATTAGTGATTAAAATAATAATATAAAAAAGAGTAAAAATGAAAGATGGGATTCACATTAACAAAACAATCGTGAAAATGGAAACGAAGCAAGGATGCGCCCATTCTAGGCTGTAACTTGACGGCATTGTAGACCGTGGTTTTGATAATGGAGAGTGCGTGGGGACATGTTTTAGAGTAAAAATTCATTGAGAGATGAGCTGAGTTGAGGCCAAGGAGAAGGTTGAAGATGAGCAGAAGAAGTGAGAAGTGGCACAATGGAGCAGAAGATGCCATGGCGTAACTAATGTAGAAGACAAGACAAGCTAAGAAAAGATTACGCGTAGGAATCAGAGGTTGTATTATATTGCCCAAAATCTGCATCATTTATAGTACTCATAAGAGAAGACTTTAACACAAATTTAGATTAGGTTTTAGTTGTTTCCGTTTACTTTAGGACTTTTCTTCTTGCGTCTTCGTTCCGCCATGTTTTGCCTTTCAATAATTGGATGCATTGAAGGTAAAAACCCAAACAAAAACAATGGAGAAGATAAAAGAAACCGTGGTCATTAGAATCAATAATCAAACTAACAGGTCAAGGAGTTTAAATTACAGAATCAATAAGAGAAAATTGGAGCGTTATGCTGGTGCACACGGTTGCAAAAACGACGTCGTTTTGACGTCTGACTTGAAAAAAAAAATTCAGTTTCAATTAATGTTAACGGCGTTAGGTTGTGCATAATTTGAACTATATAGTTCATTCATTCTGGATATATAGTTCAAATTATGCACAACGTAACGCCGTTAACGGCAATCGAAACTTTTTTTTTTTTTTTTTTTTTTTAAGTGGGATGCTTCATTTTTAATCAAAACGATACCCTTTTTGCAACCGTGTGTACCATATTGCACGGCATAATTTGCGTCGAAAATTGATTTGGGCTTGGTTTAACTTTTGAATTGTTTAAACTTTAATTTAAACTCAATTTACACGAACTCTATTGTGAAGTAATTTACTTGTTCAATTTTCATCAAGGGAATTTTAATAAAATTGGATAAACTTATAATTGAATGAATTTATCACATTTACTACATTGCATGCATGTTTGGTTTACAAAATAAATTTGAAGGAATATGAATGTTATTTCATAAGGAATGAAATATATAATAAGGAATAAAATATAAATTTTGATCTATGGCATTGTTTGGTTCACTTAAAAAATATACTTTAGCTTGTAATAGTAGCGTTTTTGGTCCTAGATTTATAGGTGACAATTTACTTTAATTTTAGTCTTTTTTTTTTTTTTTTTTTTTTTTTTTTTTTTTTTTTTTTCAAAACATCCTCCTTTGGTCCTAACAATATTATTGTGGCATAACCATTTCTGGTCATCTATCAACAAAACAATTTAAATGCCGTTAAATACAAGGACATTTCAGTCTTCAATTATGAATTTTTTCAAAAAGATAAACATAAAAAATATATATAACTGGTCAATGCACTTTGTACTAAAAAGATCGAAATGTCCTTGTATTTGATGACATTTCAACGATTTTGTTGATGGAGGACTAAAAATAGTCATGTCACAATAATACTATGATAAAAAGGGATGTTCTGATAAAAAAAATGACTAAAAATAGACTATTACCTGTAAATCTAGTACCAAAAATGTAATTAAATCATAATTGTATTAAAATGTTTGATTGGTTTAAGGATTAAAAATGGAATAAATATATTAAAATGACATAAATATATATATATATATATATATATATATATATATATATATATATATATTTATTTATTTATTTATTTTTTGAAAACCAACCAAAGAAACCTTTATCAAAGACTTAAAAAGACCTTAAAACCCAACACTCATAGAGATTGACGCTTCAATTTCTGAGATATACTGTCAAGTAAATTTTGTTGCAGATTATTTGGTTACATGCAGAAAGGTTATATATATCTTTTATTGATACTTTCATTCTTCCAAAAAAGTTGAACCCCAACTCTAAGGGTCCCACACCCTGACCCAACAGAGCAACTAGGAGGATGTAAATCATGATAACTCAACTAAACATGAACTACAGAGGTTAGACCTTTGCTCACTGCGCACAAGGAACCCCCCTCACTTTAAAAGGTTGCTCACACAGTACAGAAATTATGAATTTGCAGTATAGAAATTATGAATCTACAGTACAGAAATTATGAATGTGCAGTATAGAAATTATGAATCTACATTATAAATTTTATGAATCTACAGTATAAAAATTATGAATCTACAATACAGAAATTATGAAGCTACAATATATAAATTATGAATGTACAACGTGTCCACCATACACATGGTGGACACGGGTCCAGGGCATAACGCTCCGGATTATACTTGCTGTAGAATTGTAGTTTGGCTAGGTCTCCTACTCTCTTTATATAATTGTGCTAAGAAATAAACATAAGAAAAATATATATAGCGGGTCAACTTACTTTGTATAAAAAAAATCAAAATGTCCTTGTATTTAACAGCATTTCAGCGATTTTGTTGACATAAGACAAAAAATGATCATGTCACAATCATACTAAGACCAAATAAGGATGTTATTAAAAAAAAAAAAACTACCACTTATAAATTTATTATTACTAAAAATAGAATTAACTCAAAAATAAACATATTAATAATTGAAAGACTGAGCTCATCCTTATAAGTCAAAATGCGTAAATAAGTCATTTTCCATTTTTGTTATGTAACGTTATTATTACTCCGATCCGAACTAAACATTACCTTTAATTGCATGTAATGTGCTATATCATTTTCTTGACTATTATTGCATGCCTCTGGTGTGCTTCATGCTTACTTTTCTTGAAATTATAATTTTTTTGAATTAAAAATAAATTTTAGTTTCTTTACGTGCATGACGGGCTAGAGCTATGCGACGAAGAGGACCTTGGTGTTTGAATATATATTACAAGATACTTAATTGTAAGAATAACACATGTTCTAGTAATAATTTTAGACAATAATCATATTTGATAAAATAGTTAGTCTATCAGTCAATTACTATTATTAGATATTTACTTTGTTAAACAATTAATGGAATGTTTGATAAATTAACTATTAGCTGATAGTTAATTACATACAAAATGACTCAAAAAATAAATTGAAAAAGTTATTTTGAACAATTTTTTTGTATTTTAACATTTTGGAGCAATAAGCTGTTACTAAAATCAATGACGGTGACCGTCAATCTCTTCGTCGTATAGCTCTAGCCCGTCGTGCACGTAAACAAGCTATAATATATTTTTAGTTCAAAACAATTATAATTTCAAGAAAATTAAGCATGGAGCTAAGCACACCCGAGGCATGCAATATATAATAATCAAGCTCTAGCCCGTCGTGCACGTAAACAAGCTATAATATATTTTTAATTCAAAACAATTATAATTTCAAGAAAATTAAGCATGGAGCTAAGCACACCCGAGGCATGCAATATATAATAGTCAAGAAAATGATATACCACATCACATGCAAGTACACGTACTGTCTAATTCGGTGTAATAATAACGTTACATATAACAAAAATGGAAAATGACTTGTTTACTCATCACTCACTTATAAAGAATTAATTTCATTTTTTGTCCTAGATTTATAGATGAAAGCTCACATTTAGTCTTTTTTTTTTAAAAAAATTATTTTATCAAAACATTCCATTTTGGTCCTAGTATTATTATGACATGACCAATTTTGGTTATCTATCAACAAAATTGTTGAAATTTCGTGAAATAGAAAGACATTTTGATCTTTTTAATATAAAGTGCGTTGACCCGTTATATATTTTATGTTTATTTTTTGAAAAAATTCACAATTGAAGAGTGAAATGCTCTTGTATTTAACGCAATTTCAATGATTTTTTTTTTTTATAGAGGACCAAAAGTGGTCATGTCAAAATAATACTAGAACAAAAAATGAATGTTCTGATAAAAAAGGACTAAAAATGGACTGCTACCTATAAATCTAGGACCAAAAATGAAATTAACTCACTTATAAATTAGCCCCGTCTTTCAATTATTAATATGTTTATTTTTGAGTTAGTTCTATTTTTATTCATAGATTTATAGGTGACAATCCACTACTTTTAGTCCCTTTAATTTTTATTAGAACATCCTTATTTGGTTCTAGTATTATTGTCGCATAACCATTTTTAGTCAATCGTCATCAAAATCGTTGAAATGTCATTAAATATAATGATATTTTGATTTTTTTTTTTTGTTTTGTTTATACATAGTAGGATGACCTACTATATTTTTATGTTTATTTTTTTAAAAAAAATACATAATTAAAAACCAAAAGGCCATTATGCATGTTTAATGACATTTAAACTGTTTGTTGATAGAGCTAGGATTAAAAAAAAAAAAAATACTATGACCAAAAGTGGATGTTCTAAAAAATTGACTAAATTAAAGTGGACTACCACATATAAATTTAGGACTAAAAATGAAATTAAATATTTATTTTTAATCTCTTTTTTATTTTTAAAGTGGATATTTTCGTTAATATTTTGTAATATTTAGATGATAAATTAATTGATGAAAGTAAATATGAAATATTTTGATTTTATCTTCTTATTATTTTTTAATGTTCTAAGTTGGAACATGAAATTTGCCCCATAAACTCACTAGAACAATAAAATACATGCCTCGTGTAAGGAGTAAAAGATTAAATACAATTTTTTAAATCTATCATTTTCATTTAAATTAAACTTTATTTATTGATTTCTTGTCCAAACCTAAATAAATATTTGCGAAAAGGATAAAAATTTTCATCACTTTGAAAATAACAACTAAAAATAGACATGAAAATTACTAAACGATTGAGTTTTTGAAATATAACTCACAAATATATCATTTTTCCTAAGAAAAAGAATGATATTTAGACATTTAGTACATGCAATTAAAGATGTCGGAAGCTCTTTAATTTAATCCGTAACATTAAAATCATGAATTATATACTATATAGTGTCTGTACTTTTAAATTCTACTTCTCCACTTTTATTTCATAATGTAAAAAATAAAAATAAGTTATTTTTACCATGTGAGTTTTCAGAAAAGTGTTCATATCAATTTTTTTTTTTTTTTTTTTAAGTAGATAGAGAGTAAAAGTTGAGAGTAAAAAATAAAAGTTTATGTTGTATTTTCCTAAAATACTTATATAACCCAAAAATAATAATAAAGATATGGACATATAGTACATTAAAGATGGCAAACAACTTAAAAAGAAAATATAGACATGTAGTACATGGTAGACTTGTCTAACAAAAAATGTACATTGTGATATGAGTGTTTGGTAAACTGTTTCTTCTCCCAAGAGGTTGAATCACCAACCCTAAGGGTCCCCACACCCCGATCCGATAGAGTATTTGGGAGGATGTAAATCACGGTGACTCAATGGTTCAGCGGACAGGGTCAAATGCCGGTGCGCACAAGAAATCTGCCTACTTTGGACATAATTCTCAAACTGTCGCCGCCGAGGTTCGAATCTTGGTAAACTATTTCTTGCTTTGACTTATTGATGTCAATAAGTTGAAATTAAAAAAGCTATTTTGAGTAGCTTATTAATATCAACTTATTGCATTTTTATTTTAAAATGTCTAATTTACCCTTACAGGGCGTTTGGTTGGAAAGAGGGAATTACGTGGGAAATGAATTGCAATTCCATGGGAGATGAATTACTGGGAATAAAGTGGAATTTAAATTCCAGTGTTTGGTTTATTCTTACTGAGAATTCAATTCCAGTGTTTAGTATACATGGGAATTGAAAGGGAATAAGTAGTATAAAGCCCAAAATGCTCAAGGTTGTTGCCAGACATCAATTTTAGATTTAAAAATGAGAGAGGTAATTTTGTCTCATCATTATCTTTTTTTCTTCTTCCTAAAATCCATGGAATTAGAAAATCCATGGGGGTGGTGGGTGTGAGGGAATTGCAATTCCTTCAAACGTAAACACCCTGTTAGTTGTTGTGGTGTTTCTATTTTTTACCTAATAAAGCACAAAGAGTCAACAACGTCTTCACTAAGGCTCGATCTCATGACCTCCCATATAGGAGATGTCACTACATGCTATCTGAGCACAAGGTGCTTGGCTATGGTGTTTTTATTTATTTAATTTTTATTCAAATTTATATTTGTAATATTAAATTATTATTAACTATAGAGTATTATTTCTTTATAATTGTGAACAAAAAAAATTGAATTATATATAATTTGAAATCAAAATTCTGGTTACATATCAAATATCAATGCGGTGTGGGTACAAGATCTCTGGATGTCCTCTGATTCTTCAATTTGATGCCTTGAACACTTCACCATTGAAGGGCCTCTGGGTTTCAAGTGGCTTGATCTTCAAAGAAGGGCTTGTATATATAGCTTGTTCTTCTTGGTGAAGGGCCTCCGGGTTTCAAGTGGCTTGATCTTCAAAGAAGGGCTTGTATATATAGTTTGTTCTTCTTGAAGGGCCTCCGGGTTCAAATGGCTTGATCTTCAATAGAGGTTTGGATCAATAGGCATAGGCATGATCATTATGGAGGAGGGGCTTTTACTTTCAGGATTTTATTGTGATCCTGAATAAGCTTCAAAGCTTAAGATATTTCTATGAATTTTTCCAGGATGTGTGTGATTACATAGAAATGAAATGCCCTATTTATAGCGGTAGGATAGAGAGTTTTGATAAGCTCAAACTCTTTTGATATTATCTAATTAACAAATTAGATAATATCAATATTATCCAAAATATTTCAAATATATTCAAATATACTAATATTGATAAATAATCAATATTTATCAAAATTTAAGTGTCTACAATAATTATAACAATATTAATAATAAAGCAAAAATAATAGTTAAAAAAATAATTAATAATAGCATAACGATAACAATAAATTATAAAAATACTTTAAGAGTTAAGTAAATATCATAATATACTTATGTCCTTATACATAATTTTATATGTAATCAGCTAAAAGTAAACAATTAATTTATCAAATACCTTTTTATAACCAGCTAATACTATTAGAATATTAGTTGGTCAAACCAATTAACACAATCAACTATCAGATATCAGCTATTAGCTAAATCAATAAACTAATAGCTAATTGTCAAACACCTCATAGTGTCGTAATCATTGTTTTTTTTTTGGTAGAAGAAGGGGCCAAAGGCCCCTTGGGGGATTAACGTATCCTGCGCGTGGCAACACTGTTAGCATCTCGAACCAGCAGCTGAAGAAGCCCGTCTGGAGGCTGAGAAAGAAAGGAAGTACCCCGTGGCGAACTTTGCCCAAGATTAGCTAGGAAATCAGCACACTGATTGCCTTCCCGGAGTGTGTGAACGAGATCGAACGTGGGGAACGAGCTAATGAGAGATCTGCAATCAGCGACTAGGGTGTTGGCTTCAGGTGACGATTCCAGATTATTTTTGAGAACCTGGACTACCGCGAGGGAATCCACCTCCGCTACCAAGTTTGTTACGCCAAGATCCTTGGCCATACTGAGACCTTGACGGAGACCCCAAAGCTCGGCGACGAAGCTGTTGGTGATGCCTATCTTAACCATGAAACCAGCCTTCCAATTTCCATAGTGATCACGTAAGATGCCTCCCGCACTAGCAAGGCCAGAAGACGCCTTTTTTGCTCCATCAGATTTGAGTTTTATCGCTCTCGGATGTGGAGGGAGCCAATGGACCCAAGTCTTTTTCGCTACAGCCAGCCCAGAGTGTTTCGTGAGGATCAGCTGCGCCTCTTTCGCCTCAACGTGAGTTTTTTTCAAGATGTCGACGACCGGAGCCCACGAATTGTTGAACACTCCCGCGTTTCTACTTTTCCACATCTGCCACAGAATGTAGGGGAAGACTTGACGCCAAGCCTCCGTCGTCCCACCATACTCCTTGTCCCAGCACGTCAATTCCATCCACCATGTGATTGGAAGGTGGTTAGAGGTGATGAACCCGGGCGGTGGAGTAGCAAGGTTCCACCAATCCTTTGCTGTTGTACATTGCCTGAAGATGTGATCCAGATATTCCTCCCCGCAGCCACACCTTGGACAGGTTCCGTCATCAGTAAGACCGTGCCGCTTACGTTCGGCATTCACCAGGAGGCCATCTTTTATACTCTTCCATAAGAGGATTTTGATTCTTTCAGAGCAAGTGATACGCCATATCCATTCGTGAGTGGCGGGATCATCACCTGTACCTGTAATCACAGAAAAAGCCGAGCTAACAGAGACAAGACCAGTACCTGAGTGGGGCCAATAGATTCTGTCTGCCGCATTGCTGGACATTGGTAAAGGAATGGCACGAATGCAGTCCACCACGTCAGTCGGGAGGATGTTTTCTAAGGCAGTTACATTCCAATGTTTGCCGTTTAAGATGAACTCACTAACTCTTGTTTGGACCTCACCTTCCGGGACGAGTAGCGGGTAAATCTTGGCTAGCGGCTTATTTCCAAGCCAACTATCGTGCCAAAACCTGATTGAGGACCCCAAGTCGACCCGCCAACAAACGCCATCCTAGAGAATGGCTTTACCCTTCAAAATGCTGCGTCACCCCTAAGAGCTATTGCCGGGGTTATTGGTAGACCAAAAGTCAGTATCCTTGACATATTTCTCGCGCATAACTTTCACCCAGAGCTTATTCTGGTTAGTTGAGACTTGCCAGGCCAGCTTAGTGAGGAGGGCCATGTTAAAATCCCTAGCTTTCCTGAGACCGAGACCACCCGTATCTCGGGGTTTGCAAAACTCATCCCAGTTGACAGTGTGGATTTTCCTCGTATCCTCCAAGTGGCCCCAAAGAAAGTTCCTGCATATTTTATCAATTTCTTTACAGGTACTCACCGGGAGGGCGACTGACTGCATAGTGTAGGTAGGAACTGTAGCTAGTGAGGACTGCACCAGGATCCTCCTCCCTGCCATGCTGAGCGTACTAGCCTTCCACCTGGTTAGTTTTTTTCTCATTTTGTCGATAACGGACGTGAAAGTGTCCTTGGAGACACGTCGTTGTAGCATGGGGATGCCTAGGTAGGAACCCAGGTGGTCGCCTACTGTCATCCCTGTCATCTCGCTAATCCTTCTTTTCAAATTACCTGCAGATGTATTAGGAGAGCAGAAGATGTGGGATTTAGAGAAATTTACCTTAAGACTGGAAACTTTGCTAAATCTGTCGAGACAGTTTATGACTACGTGAGCTTGAGCTTCCGATGCTTCCCCAAAAAAGGAGCAAGTCATCTGCAAAGAACAAGTGGGAGAGACCTAAACATCCTCTGGTTACATGGATCAGTTTCCAAGCTTTGGAGGCAACCTTATCTTGGATTTCATAGGCCAGCCGTTCCATGATGAGATTGAATAAGTAGGGAGCTAAGGGGTCCCCTTGTCTAAGGCCCCGACCAGGAGTGAAAGAACGTAGGCGACCCCCATTCCAAAGAATGGCAATGTCACTTTGGTTCAAAGCAAAGAGAATCAGATTGATGAGATTACTTGGGAAGCCAAACCTCATTAAAGTGTCCTCCAGGAAACTCCAATCCACACTGTCATAAGCTTTGTGGAGGTCAACTTTAATAATCATAAATCCCTTCTTTCCTCGTTTCTTATTCATGGTGTGGATCACTTCTTGAGTGAGAACCACATTATCGAGGGTGGATCGGCCGGGGAGAAAGCTATTCTGGTGTGGCTGATGGACAATTTTAATTATTTGTCATCGCAAGTGCACGAGTCAATTGTATTAATAGCGTGCAAAGCAAAGGTCGAACCCATAGGAAATTGTAACAAAGCAATTTAATAACTTAAAATTAATTAACTCAATAATTTAAAGTACCAGAAACAATTGTAAATAATAAGAACGCAAAATAATTAAGATTGAAGCTAAACAAATAAATAAGTGAATAAAAACTCAAAAAAGTAAACAAGTAATATAATTAATCAGAATTGGAAAAAAGGTCTAGGGATATGAACTCATAACCGCTATTAATTCTGCACCTCTAGTCTAATAGAATAAAATAGAGCTGAGCAGATTAAAAACAATTATAACAATTCAAATAAAATAAAGTTTAGCATTTTTGGCACTCTACTTGGCTCCACGGCTCCATGTTGCATCACTCATTCAATTAACAATTTGGAAATTGAAAGCTTAAACAGAAGAATTAATTGCAAGGAAAACAAGAGAAATGTAGCAGACCACTCACAATGTAATTCGCAATCTAAACACAAATCCAATGGTAATTAAAACTACAGCTACGCACAGAAGTCAAACATTACCACTAAATCAAAGCTACTACATCGAACTAATGGGTTTTAAAGTTGCCATGAAATTGCCGTGTTGGACTCTTTTACGCTGGAATTAATCTGATGAAGAATTTGTTGAAACAAAGACAGCTGCGTCGATAGGAGTCGCCGAACGGAACGAAGCCACCGCTGAACAAATTAATTGTAGCAGCTGTGTAAGAGATTTGCGCTGCCGGAATTGGTATTCAGAATCCGGTCGTCGCCAGAGAAAATGGAGCCGCTGATCGGAACTCTCCGCTCACCGTCCCCGGAGTTGGTCCGGAGCCAATTGATTGATGAATGATGAACATTAGCTTCATTTTATATTGTTCCGGCCAAGCCATTTCTCCGCTTCTGTGCTGCTATGGAGCATTCTTCTGCTAGTCTATCGGATCGAAGCCATGACCGAGAAAGAGTCTGCGATCACTTTCTTATTGAAATAGAAAAATAATAAAAATGATGATGATGATGATGATGATGATGATGATGATGATGATGATGATGATGATGATGATGATGATGATGATGATGATGATGATGATGATGATGATGATGATGATGATGATGATGATGATGATGATGATGATGATGATGATGATGATGATGATGATGATGATGATGATAAAGACCATATATAACTAATCTACATTTACTAAACTCCTAGTGCTCATGTGCTACTAAAATTAATAATATTATTATTAAATTAAGAATAAGAAATTATTAGACTGACATAATTCAAATAATAGACAAATTTAATAAAAACAATTCTAAAATTGAACAAAATTAATAAAGCTATTAAAAATAAAAATAAATAAAAATATATATAAATAAATAAATTAATTATTACAAATAAACTATAAAAAAATTATATAAAATAACACTAAAAATAATGTTTATCAGTGGCCCAATGATTCTGCACATGATAGGCCTCATCCTGTTCACAAGGGTTTTTGAGATCAGTAGAGAGGGATTTCTCCAGATTTTGCAAATAGCTTGAGGTGCCGTAATTGGTTTGCCCCTTGGATCTCCTAGATCATGTTTTCTATGTGTCTCTTTCTGCTAAAAATGTTCCCGAAAACTTTCTTATTCCAACAAATGTTATCCTTAGTCACGGTAGCAATGATGGTTTCAATATTCTGAACACCGTGAGAGGTTACCTTTTTCCAAACTTCACCATAATCACTTCTAGTTAACCACGCCGCCTCGAAACGCACCGAACGGAGATGCTTATCTGGTGGCCGACCTGCATGTCCAATAAAGAGAATGGGGCTATGATCAGAGTGAAGTCTGGGGAGAACCCTAACTTTGCTTTCCGGGAAGGCATGTTGAGCTGAAAGATTCCATAGAACTCTATCGAGTCTCCGCATTTGGATGACTCTACCCCCAGCAAAACGGTACCACGTGAAAGTTGAACCAGAGTACCCCGGGTCAATGAGCCCACAACGGCTGTAAGCATCCACAAATCTTTGGAGGCCATTTGAATTGACCGAGTCACTCCCCCATTGTTCGCCTACCGCCGCAATATCATTGAGATCGCCCATAACAATCCAGGGGGCCTGTAATGATCTGCCAAAAGATTCACAATCCTCCCAGAATCTGCACTTAGCCAACATGTTAGGCCTAACATAACTAAAAGAAATAAAAACATCATCAGGACTTTGCTTAATTTTGGCACGAATGACCTAGGAACTATAACCAACGATCTCAAGGTCAATCTGACCTTGTTTCCAAACTAACAACAACCCACCGGCAAACCCAAGGGGGTTGACAATAAAATGATTATTGTAGCCCAACGAGCAGGCTAACCTGATCATATTATCGGCCTTAGGGGACCGAATCTCCAAGAGACAAAGGGCGTCAACTTTTGTCGTGTTCAAGAGTTCCTTGACATGACATCTGACTCGCCTGTTGGCGATGCCCCTACAGTTCCAGGAGATGACCTTCATTGAGAAGGGACGGCGGGAGGGGAAGTTGGGCAACCGCCTTTCCCCAACGTGAAACTCAAATTGGCGATCCCACCCACTAAAGGCGTGGACCCCACGGTCCCATCAACCACCGAGGTTGAGGGCCACCAAACTGGAAAAACTGACTTTGAACAGATTGAGCAAAGCCAGCTTCCGGATTCCAAGCATCCGGAACCGCCACCCTAGCCAAACCAACTCTACCCGTACCACTGCCCCTCCCCCGATTGGCCCCTCTTGATCCACCCCGCCCCCTAGAATTACCATTGGAGGTAATCTGGGGGATCGCGATAGATTCCAGAGGTTGCTGAACATGCAGCGGGACCAGGGGGGAGTGACGTGGGGATGGGTATGGGGTTGAGGCGAAGGAGCGTGAGGGGCGTAAGACTTACCTTTGGACCTCCGTCCCTGGGGTCTCACCGACGTTTTTGGGTTTGCCGTCGGGATGTCATCATCGTTCTGATCCCCAAGATTAGCCAACGCTTGGAATTGATTATTATTTGGACGAGCCGACTCGCGGGGCTGAACATTCTGTTTACTAGCGGTCTTTTTGCCTTGCGGTTTGCTTTTCCTTGTTACAATCATGTGGGACCCATAGCGAGAAGAGGCAGTTGGAGGGGTCGGTTGTGGAGAGAGGCTGGGAGTAGACTGCTGAGTAAATCTTGTTTTGCACTTGGAGTTTCATTAAGATCCATTGCAGGGCCTGCCGGTTGTTTTTCTTTGATTTGTGGGCAAGTTTGTTCGCGGTGGCCTATCATACCACATGCAAAACAAACAACGTGCAAGCGTTCGTATTCAACCAGTTGAACCTGATCTTCCACCCACAGATCCTTTACCAGAGGCTTATCGAGATCCACCTCTACTGCCGCGCGAGCATAGCGACCCTTAACCACCCCTGCTGTAGTCCGATCAAGCCGTATCGGCTTTCCTACCCCTTCCAGGATGTTCTTAATAATATCGTCTCGAAAATACTCCACCGCTAACCATGGTAAACGAACCCAGACTGCCATCTTTGATAGTTTCGCCCTAACCGGATCGAATTTTAGTTCCCATCGTTGGGTTACCAGGTAGTTATCAAAGATTTTCCATGGGCCATCCAATAGGACATGCAAGTAACACTAATTAAGGGTGTCGTAATCATTGTTAAAAAAGAAGAATTAAAGTCTTATTTTGAGGTAACTCAGCAGATCGGAAAGTTAATAAGCAGCGAGTTACCAGTAACACTATTATATTATTAGGTCAAATGATCAATTCTCATATGTTATGTTTGCAAAATAAGTTCATCTTATTTTGATGTCAAGATATTTTGTGGATAAATCTCTTTTTATGTAATAACTAGCAACCACACTAATTAAGGGTGGGTTTGGTTCGCACATGAAATCAGAATATAAATGAGAATCAAATACTTGATAATGGTAATGAGTTTTGGTGAAAGTATTTTGCATGCTTGGTAGTACGGTGGAATTTGGATGATTACCAATATTGATGTTTGGTTATATATGTAAGATCCTATAATAAGAATAAAGATTTTAAAATACAAAAAACAAAAAATCAAAGCAATTGATCATAATAGAATGACATTCAAAACACCAATATAAACAAACAATAACTATAATTTTGATTCTCATTCTTAGTGTGTAAACCCATAAACCAAACACATCATAAAAAGTGTTTATGCAACAAGTTTAATCAACAAAGTATTAATAAAAATCCAACTCGTATCAATTTTAATACAAAAATAATATTTTATCTACTCGACCTCATCACACTTTATCCTCGTGTTTTGATAGATGGAGTTGAGGTTGTCATTTTGTTAATGGATTGGTCCTAAAAGGCCGGCGTTAGCATTTACTTGACTGATAACAACATATGTGAGGTGTATATTACCCCAATAGTTATGCTGTGCAACCGAATGCACCATGCGCATGGTGCATACGATGCAAAATAACGTCGTTTTGACTAAAAACGCGCGTTCCATTTGAAAAAAAAAATTCAGGTTCGATTCTCGGCAATAGCATTATTGTGGGTATATAGTTATGAATTTCTGGATATATAGTTATGAATTTCTGGATATTTAGTTCATTCATTGTGAATATTTAGTTCATTCATTGTAGATATTTACTTCATTCATTCACTGTGGATATATAGTTATGAATTTATGGATATATAGTTATGAATTTCTGGATATATAGTTATGAATTTATGGATATTTAGTTCAATCATTATGAATATTTAGTTCATTCATTGTGAATTTTTACTTCAATCATTCACTGTGGATATATAGTTATGAATCTATGGATATATAGTTATGAATTTATGGATATATAAAAATGCTATTGCCAGGAATCAAACCTAATTTCTTCTTTAAGTGGGACGCGCATTTTTTAACCAAAACGACGTCATTTTGCATCGAATGCACCATGCGCATGGTGCATTCGGTTGCACAACATAATTTGCGATATTAACCACAATAGATATGCACAAAGCTTGTTGGACGGGCGGACACTTATTTTGCATCATTTCAATTGTATTGTAGTCGGTGCAAGCATAATTATATTGGGGTACAATATTTGGTAAATAGATACTAGTTGATTGGGTTAATTAGTGATTTAACTAGCTAATAACACTAGTTGATTGTAGAGAGGTATTTAATAAATTAGTTGTTAGCTAATAGCTGATTACATATAAATAATTTTATCAAAAAGTTGCTTTGAGTAGCTTTTTGATTTTTAAAGTTTTGAAATAATAAGTTGTTACAAAAAATTAATTAATCAATTGCCTATATTGATTGTTTAACCAAGTCAAACAGTTAATAATGAAAAATAAGTTAAAATTGACTGATAAAAAATTAAAGAGTAAATACCACCTATGGTCCCTCGAGTTTGGTGGCATCGCCATCAATGGTCCCTAACTTCCGTAATTACTATCCGTCATCCTCCGAGTTGTGAAAAGTTACCTTCTAGCGTCCTTCCGTTACTTCCTCCCGTCTTAGCCGTCAAAATGGAGGGTAATATTGTCATTTGACTTATACGAAAAGAGTTAATACCAGCCAAGGTCCCTCGAGTTTGGTGGTTTGGCCATCTTTAGTCCCAAACTTGGCCAAACAATATTAAAGAAAGTTGGTGGTTTCTCAACTTCCAACTCGAACTCCCTCTTCTCCTATATAATATTAAAGAAAATTTACAAATGTATAGGGGTCGTTTACTTCATTAAATAAAATTTACAAATGTATAGGGGTCGTTTACTACAAATTTTTTCAATTTTCCATTTTTCCATTCCTCCAGATTTTTATTTCTCTAATTTTCTGATTTTATTAAATACACTCATCCTATATAGCATTTGCACATTTCTACAACAACAACAATAATAATAATAATAATTTAATAATAATAATAATAATAACAATAAATAATAGTAATAATAATAAGAATTTAATAATAATAATAATAACAATAACAATAACAATAACTGTTGGTTTTTGGGTTTTTGGGCCCAGGGAGGTCCAACACAACCTTGGTCGGTGGATTCACCTTTCACAACAGCTTCTAAAGAAATGAAGGGATAACTGAAAGAACAGTCGGAAATATGTGTCTTTCCTCACTGGGCATGGACTCGCCCCTCTTACAAGGGTGGAGGGGCCTTTATATAGTAGGCTCCTCTCCAGCCGAATTGAAGTACATTAAATATCGCCTTCAAGGCTAATTACACTATAAGACCGTTCGGGCGCTGTTACTGAATCGGCCAACGGCTCTTTGGACCCCTAACGGGCCGTTTGGCCGAATCCTCTTGAATGCCGCATTGAGTGTTCCCCCAACGGCTCTTGGACCGACTTGAATGCTTCTTACCGGCTCCTAGGCCGAGTCTCCTTCCCCACTTGGGCCTGGGCCGACTCCTGGACTCGGCCCAGGTCACCACCGGGCTTTTCTTTCACTAACTCATATCTTCTATCTTGGACTCCTTCTCTTTTGGGCCCATCTCCTTGGGCTGGGGTCCTCACCCCATCAATAATAATAATAATAATAATAATAATAATAATAATAATAATAATAATAATAATAATAATAGCATTTGTACATTTCTACAACAACAAAAACAACACCAACAACAACAACAACAACAATAATAATAATAATAGTAATAATAATAATAATAATAATAATAATTTTAAAAAATAATAATAACAATAAATAATAATAATAATAATAATAATAATAATAATAATAATTTAATAATAACAACAACAACAATAATAATAATAATAATAATAACAATAACAATAATAATAATAATTTAATAATAACAATAATAACTTTAAATAATAGTAATGATAATAAGAATTTAATAATAACTATAAATAATAGTAATAATAATACATTTGAAGAAGAGAATATGAAAGAAGAAAAATAATGGAATATGATGCAGCGAAACTTGGGACTAAAGATGGCCAAACCACCAAACTCGAGGGACCTTGGCTGGTATTAACTCTTTTCGTATAAGTCAAATGACAATATTACCCTCCATTTTGACGGTTAAGACGGGAGGAAGTAATGGAAGGACGCTAGAAGGTAACTTTTGACAACTCGGAAGACGACGGATGGTAATTACGGAAGTTAGGGACCATTGATGGCGATGCCACCAAACTCGAGGGACCATAGGTGGTATTTACTCTAAATTAAATTTATGTTACCAAACAAAGCCAATTATATTAGTATTCTGTAATTAATGTTGAAAAGCGCGATTGAGGTGTACATATATGTGTTAAATAACCTCACCATTTCAAATAAATATTAATATTAACCAAGCTCTTTTTTTTTTTTTTTTTTTTTTTTAACAATTTACCAAGCTCTTTAATTTCTGCAAATAATAATAATAATAATAATAATAATAATTATTATTATTATTATTATTATTATTTATTTTATAAAGTAGTTATTTTATAAAATAAATTATAATAATTTAAAAATTATTATTATCATTATTATTTG